CCCCTTCAATGGAGGACACCCCGCAGGAATGGAGGACTGCTCGCTGCCACCGCCTCCCTGGGATTTGGGGCAGCATTACCAGGGCTTTAAAGTGAGCAGGCGTTTCTCTCCATCTTCACTTTAAACAAACAAACCCAAAAAAAAATATTGTGCTGCTCTAGTATCGTACCAGTGAACTCGAAGTGACCCTGTCAAGTAAATATTCTTCCCGAGGTAACACTGTTTTAAATATATCCACTTAGTATCCTTATTTGAAAACATTGGACAAATTAAATGACTGTAAAATTTGACTTTCCAGTATTTTGTATTCAGACAAAACTCTTACAGCACCCTCTTCCATGGCAGCCAGCCCATATTTCCATGTAACTAAAATTTTGAAAAGCCGACTACGCATTTTGGTATCTGTGCATTCATCATCCCTCCCAGTTCACGAACTCTTTTCGAGTTCAAAGCAAAAAGCGTGAGGAAGAGGAACGCGTGTGCAACCAACATACTCCCCTCCAAAAAAAGCTGCAGCCTGACCACCCTGTACGGCCCTAAGGGCTCTTACCACGTACCCCATCACCAACCAGGGATCCCCCACCGGCTGTACGAGGCTTCCCGATCGCTGCTGTCAAGACAAAGGGAATCCATGGAGCTGGCGAGAACGCTGCTGAGCAGAGCCCCGTGCTCCAGAAGAAGTCACGTTAATTGAATGCGACTTCAAAATATTTCAGATTCTCAGCAAGGATTTGGTAGCGGAGGGGAACACGCTGTGACGGACCGTATTTCTAAGACGGTATGAAAAGCGGTTTCAGTACACGCTGCCAAAAAGTGTCAAACGGGCTAAAATATGCTCGTCGATAGATAAGCAGACGACGCTTCCGACGGCAGGAGCAGGGAGGAGGGAGCGGGTGGGCAGTGCAGCCAGGGCAGCACCAGGGAAGAAACGTTGCCCTGCAGAGTGCCCGATGCTCGCCGCCGGTTTTACTGGGTTTCTGAGAAAGGTTAAATATGTCGAGCATTAGTTTACAAAACCTCTCCAACGAATCCTCTTACTCACATGATCTTTCTCAACAGTCCCAATCTCTTCAGCGGCGCAGAAGCGACGCTGTTAGCTCTGACCGTGCCAGCTGCCCTCTCTCAAAACGCGGGGGTTCCCACGCCGCAGAGGCGAGGGGCTGACCTCCACGCAGCGCCCAGATCAGGATGCTGTGGACACCCGCCTAAGAGCGTTATCGTATTTTCCATATTTTCTCACCCATTCTTCCTATGCCCTAACGTCTTGTTTGATCTTTTGTGACTGTGGCTGCACGCTGAGCAGACGGCTTCATCGAGCTGTCCGCAGCGACCCTCGGGTCTTTCTCCCCAGTGGTTGCAGTTCACTTAAAGCGCAGCAACGTGTACAGGGAGCTGGGACTGCTCCTTCCCGGGCACCGAACCTTGCGTTTGGCAGTGGTGACTTTCATCTGCCCCTGTGGTTCTCCTTCACTTAACTTCAGCTCTGCCACCTTCTTCACTGCTGCCTCCGCGCTGCCCAACTCACTGTCCACCTCTTTTCCAGATTATTAATGAAAATATTGAGACATACAGACACGACAACGCAGATCCTTAGAGCAGTCCAGCATCACCTTATTCCCTGAAAAAAGCCGACGCTTCACTTGTTTTCTGTTCTGAGCCGAGCAAGCTTTTTTACCCTGCGAGACTCACTTGAGCAGAGGCTCTTTGAGAATCACAGGCTGGTTGTCGGAGACCTACAACTTTGTTGATGTACTATTTAAAAAAACCCCACAACATAGATTTGTGATTTTTATTTTTCTCTTATCGCATCCTCATTACGTAGATATCTTTAACTGTGTCCTTCTGGAAGAGCTGGTACTCAGGTGAGCCACGCAACTGTCCTCCTCTCCTCTTTTCCGTACAAACCCCCAAGCAGGTAAACCATGTGGAGCCATGCGTGTTGTACAGACACAGACAGGCAAGACAGAGGCATAAACACCAAGAGAAGGAGACCTGAGCATGACACTGAAAAACAGTAGAGCATGGGGGCTTCTCCGATGGAGCTGCTGGACTGGCAACCTGGGGGACATCCAAGCATCCTGCCGCGTCCGGAGGAGAGGCCACGCGGCTGGGAAAGGACGGACCCACACCAGTGGCACCCTGGGAGCACCTCCCGCAGCCAGAAAATGCAAGGACTGGAGGTTTGTTCCTCTTTTGAAGTGTGGTACAGGATTTTAAGGATATGGCACATCTTTTACTGGGTTTCTGGAGAAGGTTTATGAACACGCCATGGTCTCCACCAGCTTCTGCTCCCCTCCTGCCCCCAGGAGCAGGGCACCAGCACCTCACCACAATATGTGCCAAGCTGTAGGAGATGCTGTCAAGCCCGGAGGTGCAGAGGCGTGGGTCGTGCTGGCCCAGCACCTGCGGGACGGGGTGGCCTGCGCCAGCCTCTCCAGCCTGCTCTGCCCCGTAGCTGTCGCTCCTCATCGGAGCCCGTGTCCCGCATGCTCATCGCCAACACCGCTGCCTGAAAGAAGCTGATCTGGTCTAGATATTAACGGGGTCTAGCCTGTGGAAAATGCTGATGCAGAAACTGCACGTCTTCTCTCCTCTATCTGCAGCCTCGTTAACGGCTGCAGTTAACCCCCAGAAGTCCACCCAAGCGAATGGCCTCGCCCTGCAGCTTTGCCGCTTCCAGGTTTTCTTTCCTTTTCCCATAACCTCCTACAAACCCTCTCCCACCTCATCCTCAGCCCCCTGATTTTCACAGCAGATTTTACCAGCCCGCCTCCTGGCTTCACCCAGGTTGTTTTCCATTTTCTGGAGAAGAACCCACTTGGCTTCACCAATTTTCAGCTGCTTTCACCTCTCCCATGAGCAGCGCCAGCCCACTCTCCCCAGCACATCCCGACCCGTCCCGGTTTGGCCAACAAAGCAACAACAAAGTCAAGCAAGAGCTGGAAAGGCCCTGGCGTTAAGATCTACTTAATAAGTTGTCAGCCAGGTCCTGCGTATCTATTCTTGCGGGCATAAAGATCTCTGTCAGCAGTCACAACATGGATTTACACTCCCAGCACAGTTCCTAGCAGCATTTAAAGATTTTTAACGACCATCCCTTTGTCCCAGGGAGTTAAGCGCTGATCGAATGTCACAACGTGACACATGAATGCACAACACAAGGAAGGTTTGACAGGCAGCAACATTGTAATATGATAATTCCTCTTTGTCCCTTAATCGCCTCTGTTTTTTGCAGACTTGATTCACTTACCAACATGTGATCAATCACTGCCTTTTTCAGTGAGATAATTTTTTGCCCTCTATCTAAATGGCTCCTGTCAAAGGGAATCCAGTACTAAATTAAAGCTGATATGCTTGTCTCTGCCCTTTTGTTTGTTGACTTCTCCTCGCACACAATTGATTTTAAATAGATTTTTTTTATGGGTTCCATCACCATTTAAGTATATGTATTTTTAAAAATCTGGCTCCTTGAAATTAACATTGGATACATACACATTCAAAAACGGTCTTGAGCATATAATTTAATGGAGAGGAATAAATACGAGAGTACGCACTGGCAAGTGTATCGAGTCCCCACTAGACACGGAGCGAGTAAGTTGCCTGTTTAGGTCTTCCCACGTGCTCTATTTAAAACTGGAATACGACAATCAAGTCTCACGATTTGTGAACGTAACAAAAAGAGGATGGTGTAATTTAACATGAAAGGGAGCAACGCAAAGAAAACCACTTGTTCTGAGTCTGTAACAAATCGGGATTTAGCTGAAGACCAACACAGAACTTCTCAGACATATCTCACCGGTATTTGCACACCCTGATAAGCACCTCCTTAACAACAGGTAAGAGGTCTTTAGCGGCACAAGCACCAAAAAAATGAGAATCTACCTTTCTGGATAAGCAGAAATGTGTTTTTGCAGCTCTCCGGCAAGCATCAGACATGCCCCAAACAGCTCTGTTCCACTGCACCAGCCCCAGCCCCTCCGAGCAGAGCCATGCACGTGCAAACCACCCAAAACCCCCACCTCGCCACGTGGCTCTTCCCCCCCCCCAGTTTCCTCAAGCGCATCCACACCGCATTCAAAACCTCAAAATCTAGCATTTTGCCCCTTCCCTCCGGCTCCTCTTTCCCACGCCTGCCTCTCCCAGGCTGGGTCTTCCACACCTCTCCCTCATGGAAAACCTCAGCCCGGTCCTGCCAAAGCCAAGGGCACAGTGCCCATGGACCCAACCGGAAGTGGGAACCTGCTCTCCGGTCATCGTGACTCCCCTGCCCGCATCCGCTTGGCAACTGCTACCGGGCAAGAGAAACTGCAGAAATGCCCGAGGGCACCTTCATCCCTCCCATCCCAAGCAGACGTCGTCATCTGCTGTCAGCGTTCCTCACCACGCTACACGTAATCGGTGATAACGAAATGGGGCAATTTCAAAGCTAGGTAGCATGACGCTGATTTCATTCACTGATTGAATGACACCAGATTTTTGGCTGCACCGCGCATTATAAATTATTCTACGTGGTTTCAGCACTTGTCCTGGTTATGCACATACGGCACTTCAGACTTTGCCAAGACCATCTAATAGACACGTCATAATCAGCACTGTAATATAAAGGATCATCTTGGTTTATACATATTTTTTTTTCTTTTTTTGAAGAAAACACCTCAGCCAAATGCTGGGTTGCCATCTCTAAGGTGGACGGTTTCCCTGAAGAAAAAAAAAATTAAAAATTAATGTTTTCTCCTTGTGGTTCTAGCAGTTTTCTCCTTCTGTGCAGAAGGATAAGGGAAAGAAAACAGCTCTATGATGGAGGCATCACCCCTAGGCGAGGGCGAGCGGCGTTCCAGATAGACGCGTCCATCCGCAAAGGGCAGCGGGAGCCAAGGCATTAAAAACATACCGATGAATGGGGAAGGGGAGGACTGGCTGGGGGAAAAAAAAACAAAACAAAAACCCACAAACAAAAAAAGCTCATTTTTCAAAACACATTATTATCGCACCGAACGTATTTTAATGTATTTTCAGCAAGGCATCAAATACCCCCAGATTCTGCTTTTGTGTCTCTTGGCAGTTCAAGAATGCCAACGCGCCCCGTCCTCGGGGTGCCAGAACCAATCTGTTGCCAAGAGACACAAAACTGATATCACGGGTGTATAAAGCCGTCTTTGGAAACGTATGAAACAGCGAACGACCTCATGTTCGGGGTTTGACTTAGTCAGCAAGACGTCAAGGAAGAAAAATTAACCTTTTGTTATAAGGTTTAAAGCTGACCATTTGTATCCTTCTCCGAGGGAGAACCAGCCTTCCTGAAGCAGAAATGCGCTCGCGTCTGGTATTGCATTTCAAGCAAACAGCCCAGTATTATTATTTTTTTTTTTTAATGTTTTCTTTTGTTTGGGGAGGAAAAAAATAAAAATCATTAGCGTCAGGGCACTCAGGGGAGCGGGGAAGCCATCCCCTGGGGAGGCTGGGCAGGTGACATTTCTGAAGCGTCCATCTGCAGAGGAGACCCAAATGCCACAGCTGGACCTTCACGTGGCGACGGTACTAGCCGAGAAGGGTTTTGAGGCTCTGACTGTAAATATCCAAAAGGTTTTTGCATTTAAAAAACCTGCTCACCGGCAAGTTCTTCAAATATTTATTGCTCCAACCGATGAGTAACCTACTGGAGATGCTGCAGCTTCACCCTCTGCAAACCGTTCCCCGCGTTTGGTTCTGGATGCCTCCCTCCCTCCTCCAACCTGCAAACTGGAGGCAAATCCTTTCAAACAGAGTATTTTTCCCCCTGTATT